CCCCATTCTACCCTTTATAACCATCAATTGTCACCTCTATGTGAGTGACACCCTGATCCCTATAACAGGCCCTCCACTGCTTTGCTGTAGTTATAAATATCTTTCACTTAAAGGCATTAATTTGCCTCTAAGACGCAGAAAGGAACAACAACACAGAGAGTGCACTTTACTGGAGTCACTGTGCTTTCGCGTCGGGATAAATGCTTTTCATACAGACTGAGTTATGGCGCAATGTATCACTCACAAAACAGTTTAAAGTCATTGTGTTAACAACCTGCTTTGCCTACTGATGTGAGTCACTCACCATTTTTGATTGTGTCAAAAGAGTGAACCCTGGCTATCCATTAGGCTAACAAATAAAAACACCCCCACAAGCATCCTCGTTTTATTATCTGTCATCATTAGATTTCTCCCCTGATGTCGAGGAGAGAGCAACAGTGATGCTTTTAATTGTTCTGTGCTACAAATGTGCTGGTGTGTGGGCTAAAATTATGAAATTGCATCTCACTCAAAACATTCACTTAAAAAGGTCGAACCTTGGGCTTTATGTTTAACTAAAGCCCTGCACTGAGCCGTGGGGGTGAACTCCAGAAAATCCTGCATACATGCCATCAAATGTAAATACAGTATTTATGCACTATTAGCAAGAAAACAGGCACTTGCGTCACAGCCAGGGTGGAGTTCGCCACATCGGCTGTGATGTGGTTAAAATGAACAGCTGTGTGTGTGTGTGTGTGTGTACACCTTGCAACGATGCCTGCTTGTGAATCATGGGCACTAATTTCATATTTCAGTGCAGCTGCCTGTCATCAGCACTCTTATCAAAAATACATACCAGACCGTAATCACGGCGCAGGAGAACTGGATGCCAAAATACCTCAGAGCACATGAGCATAAATGAAAGATGGGAGAAGGAGGGAGGGAGGGAAGGGTGTATGACAGGAGGCAAAAGAAAAATGAGACAAAAAAAAGCTAAAATGGATTAAATCACGATGGAGAGCAGCTTCAAATTGAACTTGTCATGTAACTTGTGCACAAATGTGTACATTTAGTGGCACAGCTGGTACTAAAATGACTGAGATGAAGCGCATACGCTTGCATGAGTTTCTGTAAGGTATGCGTGAATGTGTATGATGTGTGGGAGGGGGTGTATTGATGCAACATCAACAGCCATTAACCCCCTGTGTGGACAAGTTTAGGGGCATGTCTTAACAAGTCACCAGCTGCAACGCAACACAACACAGGCTGGGAGGTTGAACAGCAACCGTGTGCATTCAACAGAATAGGAAATAAAATATTATATAAAAATCGTATTTAAGACATAAATAAAAGTAGCGGTTGAATTTCAAGGATTTCTGGTAACGATGGCTCTGATACAGGCGGGGTATTTGTTGTTTATTTAGGGGAAACCTGTCACGATATTTCACCACACAGCTAAAGCTTTGTTTATGTCCTTTTCTTTCCCAAATCTGTGTAATTCATAGTGACATACCTGCAGAGGACAGGCAACCTTTCCCAGTTCAAAAACAAAGGCTATTTGATCAGAACACCCAGACAGAGGTCTCACCTGTTGCAGAAGCGTTCCTGCTTGAGGATAGCTTGAACATCCACGTGTAGGCGGGGACGCACGAGGAGAGGAGAGGAGGAGGAGGAGGGATCACCGACACCCAATCAGATGTGGCCGCTTCTGGAGCGCTATAAAAACTCTGTGGTCTCTTCTGCGCCAGCGTCTGCTCGCAGCTTCTCCTTCTAAAGACTGTTTTGACTTTTCCCTCCGGGTTTCTACAAGAAGAAAATAATTGACCACCGAACCACTCTGCGAGGAAAACGGAATTGACTAAACTCACTTTATTTAAAAGCTCGCTTTATACTTGGACTCGAAAATAGTTTCGTCTCTGCTTTGGATTGTTTTTTCGTTTTTTGACTGACCTGACGGGCAAAAACAATGCGCCTCATCCAGAACATGACGACCATAGCGGAGTATCCAGCTTCTGAATACTCGGCCCCCAACCGGGCCATTAAAATAGCCGTTATAGGAGGCAGCGGTGTGGGGAAGACAGGTAAGAGGAAACGGAAAAAAAATACGCAAGCATTGTAGGTAACGTATACCCTGGCGTATATGTTTAACGTTGTTTTCTCGCTTCTCCTCAGCACTCGTGGTGAGATTCCTAACAAAACGCTTCATCGGAGACTACGAGAGAAATGCTGGTAAGTTGAATATCTGTATTTTTATGAATGGAAAACGCTAAAATTGAGCTAATTGTTATTTTTTGGGGTACTAAAGGTTTTGTTCCTCCTATATGCAGGTAATCTCTACTCCAGAGAAGTCCAGGTGGATGGAGAGCAAGTGACCATCCAAGTACAGGACACTCCTGGTGCCGAGGTGAGCAGAAAGGGACATATTATAATCTGTCTGGGCTGACTGGAGGGTAACAGAGTGGACAAAATAACCGTCTGGTTAAAAAATATCTAAGCGTCTGCAGGCACTGCTCCAAAACCGAACATGTCTGTTTTCCTCCTGAAGTATAGCCCTTTGTTTTGCCTGTCTAATCTTCCATTTAAGCTAATGGCTGTCTGGGGCCAGAGTAAATGATACCCTGATCCACATCCAGACTTCTCAATCACCCACACCTCTCTCTTCTGGAGGAGTAATCCTATAGCTTTTGTCTGCCTCAGCTGGCATTCCAGACATTACAAAAGCTCAGTTTCATAAAATGAGGAACATTTAATCTTTCCTGAAATTCGATTGATTTTGTGCATCAGAACAAGAATGCTGGAAATGTTTTTCAGAGGAAGTTGTGTTTTAATCATTGTCTTTTTTTTTTCTTCTTCCCCCCCAGATGACAGATAATGGCATCAGTCTACCTGACCATGTGACCTGCTCCATTCAGTGGGCTGATGCTGTGGTGCTGGTGTACTCTGTGACTGACCGCAGCAGCTTTGATTTGATCGATCAGTTGCACCAGCTGGTTGTCCGCAGCAGCGGTGCCAGTATGCCCCCGGTAATCCTGCTGGCCAATAAGGCAGACCTGTTGCACCTGAGGCGAGTCGACTCCCAGCAGGGTCCCATTCTGGCTGGAAACCTGGGCTGCTCCTTCTATGAAGTATCTGCCAGTGAGGATTACAACCAGGTACACGGGGCTTTCCACAGGCTGTGCTGCCAGCTAGCCAAGCAGCCACCCCCTGCCTCTAGCTCCCCACCCACCTCTGCTAGTGGTGTCACAGAGAAGAGGCGCTCTCTCCTCATCCCCAGACCAAAGTCTCCCAATATGCAGGATCTGAAGAGGCGCTTCAAGCAGGCGCTGTCTGCCAAAGTCCGGACTGTCACCTCAGTGTGAGGAGCGCTACAAGCTGAAAGTGGTTGAGTGGCCACAGAAAGTACTAAACGTTGGAAAAGAGGACAGAAGATTCACGCTTCTCCACTGAAGTCCTGCTCCAGTCCAGCTGGTGTGATATGAACAGTATAGCAGGAGGCCGATGAATCTTTGCAGAGATAAATGGCGTCTGTCCTGTCAGATGACGCGAAGAGCAGCGGTGAAGCAGTTCAGGGGGAGAAAATTTCCCTTTGAGGACACAGAAACAGCCGATTGAAGCTGAGAGAACTAAAAACTGCATATAAAAATTGTACATAAAGCCCTCTTGGCAACAACAGCTCTGAAGGACTGCTTATTTTTAGCTGTGCTGTGCCTGTTGTGGCTGTTCTTTATTCAGACTGCCATTTCATCAAGGCTAAACACCGGCATTATTATACCCGCCACTTAAGCTGGGTCTCAGTGCAGCTCTCTGTGTGTTCACTCTCATATTTGAATATCTGCAGTTTATTTTTTGCAACTTACAAACGCATCATTGTGCATGATTGATGAGTGAGGGAAGGGTAGGGGTTGAAGTATCCTTGTGGGGTAGCAGCCACTATGTAGCATGTGTTGGTGATTATCACTGATGCACTTTATTAAAAAGAGTCCAAAGGGCCTATTGTTATTTATTTGTTACAAGTTCTTTTTCATAATAAAAAGATTATGAACTTCCAATAAAATGTCTCTGGAGCGTTATTCATTTTGCATGTGTGCATTTCACTGGGTGGGGAATAAAAAGTTTACAAACAATAGATTATAGAACTTCTGAGTCACTGATGTCCTTGGGACTGTAACACTAATAAACCGCATTCATACTGGGAGCAGATGACGCACACAGAACAAGGTAGTCTGACCCATGAATACAGCAATTCTTAAAAAAGGCTTGGATATCAGACTAGTGATGAAAAGCATGGACACAATGGAAGCATGACTGTACAGCCACTTCACAGATCTTGTGAGCTGTATAAAACTAAAAGCCCTGTGCAGTCCTTGACCTCCCAAACAGTATTTTGACTAAAAAATGAAGCTGCTGATGCGACTGCAGCCAAATCCAAAACAAAGTTGTTTTTTTTCCCTCTTTCCGAGCTGACCTTGTTTTCATTAGAGACCCCAAAGAACTGCACCGGTCCCAAAGAGGAGGTGAAAATTCTATTAAAACAGTTTGCCATTAAAACGTGCAATTGCATCAGTTTACTGGCAATTCAGAACCTAATCAGGGAATTCTGTTCAACCCTGCCAGACGAGGATTTGCTGAATTACACCTGTGTTTGACAAAATGAGGGAGATTCGAGAACGGCCCCAGTTGTGGGTGAATTTCTGAGCTTTAGCTGTGATGATTCATGTTGGAGAGAACAAAGAGAGACGGGATAGTGGGAGGGATGGAAGGTGGAGGTGAGGTCTAAGTGAGCAATTTATCGGCCTTGGCAGGCAGCGTGAAAGGCTTTGTTAATTATCCTGGTCTTATTTGTCACCATATGATGTTTGCGAGGGGATGATGTTAACAGAGAGTGTGGATTCTTCCGGCCACAACAGCATGCTGTCCATTGTTAACACTTCTAATGGGTTCACACAGAGACCTGCTTTAAACAGCTAACTTGACCTCTTGTGTCCTGTGTATTTATGCAAATAAAAGACATCACACATGGGTGTCTGAAAAGTGACTTTATTGCTTTATATTAACATTTGATGGAATTTTACGCCTCACGCTTAGAGAGGTGGCTTTTTACAGAACAGGAATGTTGCTTCATTTGCATGTCGTCTGTTGACACGCCATTTTAATTTCTCATGCCCTTTTCACACCTCAGTGTTTAGATGTTCGAGGTGCATGTGTTCATCCGCGTGTTAACACCTGCGTTTCCGTTTTTACACACCGATATCAGGTACCAGTCTCTGGGTGCCGAAGAGCAGCTCGGGGATGTCTGTCGGTCTTAGTAACCTGGTGGAGAGAACGAGCACCTGGAGTGGGGAACAACACACTCGTCAGAGTCAAAGGATGTCAACATGTGCAAGCCGACACTTATAAATGAAGCACATGTTGAGAAATTCACAAGGTGGAAATCCAAGAGTTGCGTGAATCAGTTTCTGTTGTAGGTGGGTTATTTTGTTAAGTAGTAGTACTCAGAAGGTTGTGGTGTTTGAGGTGTCAAACAAATGATGTTTTGGTTGGTGACTCGCAAACCAAAGTTTATTTTTCATTTTAAAGTCTTTGTAAGGGTTATGTTAAATCAAAGACAGCAGTTATCCATATATTTAGTTTGGAGAATAAATATGACTGGAATAATTCAGTAAGTTCATTCAGACATGGGGAACGAATACAATCCTGGCACAACATGCTTTATAAAATCATTTTGCAGGTTTTTGTATGTAAAGAATAAAAGCACTGAAAGTTAGGCAACAGCTGAATGAGCACAGGATAGAGTTACAGCGTCGATCCAGAAACGTTATTTATTTATTTGCACGTAAACTTCGGCACAGGTTTGGATGCGAAAGATGGAAATAGAAAATGCAGGAATTATGTCAGGTGCATCCAGTTGCTGTGCAGCACGTGTGAGGCTTTACTTAAAAATCTCTCCCTGCTTTTGGGTGAATTTGGATGGCTGGCCGCTTGGCTGCCTGTCACATTTTTCAGTCAATAAGATTGTAAAATATGCTCAGTAAAATTGCACTTCAACAACAACACAGTATCACACTGCTTTGTGAGCCTGTGTGTTTTGTGATCTTTAATACTTTGCAGCATATCTGTTAAAAATGCAGTTGATATGAGGTGTGTGTGTGATGACTAAGATGCCTGTTGTGGTTGTGGAGAAGCTGTTTTACAGCAGTTGAACCATGAAACACAATCTCCTCCCAGAGGCTGATAAGATGCAAATACCACTCACATGCTGGAAAGCATTGATGCGTCATTGATACGTAATCTTGGGTGTCATTAGTTGTTGATCTTTAAAGATGATAAGAAATAAACTCGGCCTCCTGGTCTTCTTTCCTTGGGCGTTTCTCATGATAACTGCTTTAACTGAGTTTTCTATGACTGACAGCAGAACAGCTGAATACAGTTAGAGTGTGGCATCTATGCTCAGACACACATAGAAGTTAGGAATTGATGAAGCAACCCCCATCTGGGAGGATACAGGTAGATGCTAGGATGGTGGAGCAACGTGTTCTCATCCCAACACGTTAAGGGGCATAAGAGCGGGTTTGCATGAATCTATCAATGTGTTAAGGTTAG